AAAAAAAAAAAAAATTCTTTTTCTTTACCAGTAAATGTTTCATTAACAGAAATTTTTGTTAAATTAGTTAAAAATTTAGGTGAATTATCATTAACATCTAAAACTTGAACATTTATTCTCATTTTTGCTTGTTGTTGTTGTTTATCAGTAACAATAATCCATAAATGATCATATTGAGTACGTTCTTCTCTATCTAATGGATGATTTTTAATTCTTAAACATAAATCATTTCCAATTGTTTGATCAATTTCAAATTTTTCACTTCCATTACCAATTAATTGATAAATAAATTGATTTGTTTCTGGTAAATCTTTATCATCAACATTTGGAATACGATAACATTGTCGATGTTGAATATTTGTATTTTCTGGTATATGAATTTGAATTTCATTTGAACGAAAATAATGTAAATTATCATTTAAATCATTTATTGTTATATTAACAAATATAATTTGATGTTCTGGTTGTGAAAGAATTTTTAATTGTATTGAACATTGTGTTATACATGAACAAAATTGTTCACCACATAAATATTCACGATCAAGTGATTGAATTGCATATAGATGTGTTTGATTTTCAATAGAAAAATATTTATGTAATTGAACATTTGTTGATACTAATTGATATGATTTTATTGAATTTATTAAATTAAATGATAATAAATGACGTGGAGATATTTCATTTTCATTTATTGATATATGATGAAAACGAGAATAATATCGACAATAACAACTTGAATTTAATAATATAATTAGAAAAGAAATTTTTAAAGAAAACATTATCTAAAATAAAATATTTTTTTCTTATATCACTTCATACTATTTGTATTCAGACACGATGTGTAGTTTTCTTTTTGTTGAAACCTTGAAAATAGTATTATTATTAGAAGAAGAGAAACATATATATATATATATACTTATTATCTAGAACAGATCGTTTGTTTGAAATTTTTTACGCACGACAGACGAAAATAGAGGATTTGAAGGTTCTAATTGAACACGTCGACAGATTTTATACTCGATGAATTGATCGATCGGTCGAACAAAAAAAAAGAGAGATTTATTCTAAATTATAACTACAGATTTGTCAGTCATTCCAAAGAGGAAAACAATCTGTCATCATCATCGTTTCTTATTTTTTCTCACTTAGCAAAACAGTATTTCTTCTTTTCTCTTTCTTTTCTAGTGGCGACATTGAAAAAAAAGTACGATCATAAAAGAATGACCCTTCTATATGCATGCTAACTATTGATTTCACACAATTTCTTGCTGCTCATATACTCGAGGCCGTTTATATAAAAACTTCCGTCTACTTGACACTCATATACACATATACATGACGGAAGTAAAGATAGAAAGAAAAGAAAAAAGAAAGATGAATTGTCATAAATACTAGAAGGCAAAAAGACGATTATTACTAGACGAATTTTGATTGCCAACTTAAAATAGTGACGCGACACTTCTTAACCACCTATTAAATACACCTGCTACTTATTCCAAGAAATGTTTACAATTCTTTACATTTTTTAAATCTATACATTCATTAGAAAAAAAAAAGTAATTCATTTATTTGAATAATAATTACTGATTATATTAAGACATGAAATTATTTTTGTTTGATATTGTTTTTACATTTCTTCTCTTTCAATTTCAAATATTGTTCAAAAAAGAAGAATTATTGTGTTTAGTGAATTGGAAAAAAGTTATTTCTTATCATGACTTTAACATTGTAACAAAAAAAAAAAACGTAGAAAAAATGTTGACATATTAGTGGATAGAGTCAAGAATTTTTTTTTCTCTAGTTAATTATTTGGCCTTTACAAGATGAACATAGACATTCTTTTTTTAAATGGCTTCTGTCTTTAACCAAAGAAGAAAAGAAATCTTATAATAAAGAATTTTATATTTTCCTTGCCGAAGCGCTTCGTATGTTTCTTAAAGTGAAAAACTTTTTTCTTTTTTCTTCTTCCATTTCTCCACCCATCGAATTTCTCTAACGCGTACCGCCCCTACCGTGTTAGGAAAAGGACATGATAATAATAGTATGTATCGCCGCTGGAGACATATTTACTAGTGATATCCGCTCAATCAAATGACTGACAAACTAACTAGAATAAGATTGATGATAGATGAATGTTTGTAGAATTTTTCTTCAAAATGCTTCCTCGAGTAGTAGCTCTATGACCTTTTCTTATTTTTTTTTTTTTCATCATATACTATTGTGTATCTTTCTTGTATGCTCTCTGGTCTCTCTCTCTCTTCTTGTTTCTTTTTTCTTTCTCGCTATTATGTAAACGAACTTTTCAGATAAACAAACAACATATAACTCAATCGTCCCCGTGTGGCAACACTTGTGATGTCAAATGCACAGATGCTAAGTGGCCGATTCTACTTATTCAACTAATTTTATAAACACCATTTTCTTGTTCTCCTTTGCTTCGTGTCATCCTTATTATCATATAGAAAGAAAAATTATTATCTAATCTGTTTCGTATCATACTTCTATTAAGACTAAGCTTAATAATTGATTTTCAAACTTTGAGAGAGAGAGAAAAAAAGGACACATACTTCCTCAAGCAAGATCGAGTGAAGAAGAAGAAAAAAAAAAGAAAATGTGTCTTCCTATATATATGATGCAACTCAATTGCAATTCCAATACAAATGAAATGAGAAAATGGAGATGGATCAGAATGGAAAAAAAGACCTTCGGGCCACGGCTACTACTAACACCAGAATCACATGAGACAAAAAGGAAAAAACCGTTTGATGATTAGTTAAATTATCGAGAACAAGAATGCTGACATGTAAGAGCCTTTAACGAGTTCTATTTCTGATCTAAATTATATA